TATAAATTTCTCTGTAGAAGAGTCTTGAGATGAAGGAGAGATTCACATTTAACATATCAGAGTAGAAGGATGTTAATCTTGCTGCAGTTGCAAGCTTGCTTCTGTGGCCTTGAATTCTCCTGTTCTTCTAGAGTGAGATACAGCCATAACCTCCTGTGCTGACCTCTCCACTTCTTAACCAAGGTTTGCAGTTCATTTGAGATTTCCTTCTATATAAACATCAGGGTTTATTCTGAGTTTGGATTATTGTAAGCATTCACTAAAATAAGCATGTGAGAGACACCTCCATGAGGGACCCATGCTAGTAAGTAATTCTGCTGCAGGTAACTGCAATTTCTTCTTAATAACATCACCTTCAGCTTTTGTGCTTTAAAAAGGAGATGTTTGTCTTCAAGAGTAACCCTCATCTTGCCTATTAAATGTCATTATCTCAGTCCCAGGTTGCAGGAATACTGTGGCTGACCCAGTGTCTCTGTAGATGTACAAATGTTCTGCCAGGAAAGGTAAACATCACCTCCTCATAAATGGGAGCATGCTTAGCACACAAAGCAGCAGCACAATGTCTGCACCACTTGTGTGCTTGTCTTTAGGTTATCCCCACGTTTATCAAGGATCTGAAAACTTTTCACTGGAAAGAACAGCAGCAGGCATTCTCAGAAGCCTGTGGAATCAAGCATTCACTTGGGTCTGTGTCTTTCCATGAATTCTTCTGATAACTTGGGGGAAATGGTGTTAGCATGTGCTCTGAAGGCTGTGCTTTTGGCAAGTCTACAAACTTTATTCTCTCTGTGATAGGCATATTTGTTAGAGTGATAGAGACTTTTTATGGTGCTTATTTGCTTTTCTCTGCAGTGAAAGTCAACACAGGGACTTCTATTCAGGCAGTGTGCAGTGTAAACACTGAAACTCTCCCATGCAGGCAGCACTGATCTGAGGTTTACCTTCTGCTGGTGATGAGTGCTCTGAATTTCATGTGCTCAGAAGCATTTGTGTGGAATTCTGATCAGTTTAGTGTGGATTGGGAGATGCCACAGCCTGCAGCAGCAGAGCACTTTCAATGGAGTGCTGAGATGAGGTGCTGGGCAGGACTCACACACTGCTGGGTGATGCTTGCATGGTTTTCAGACATGTTTTGGTGCACAGAACAGATACGAGGAGAGAGGAAGGGCGCTGGGTTTCTGGATGAATGCTTTGTTTTCACTCTCAGCACTTGCCCTGTGCACTTTGCCCAGCTCCCAGCTCCAGAGGGATCCATGCATTGCCTGGCTGAAAGTCAGCATGTATTTATAGCAACCCTTCCTGAAGGAAGGCAGACCTGGGACACTGTCAGGGTGGAACTGACAGGTACTAAAAGGGCTTGGGCGTCACTGGGTAGAAAACGTCAAAGCCGACCTCACCTGACAAATACTGTGGGACTGGTAAGTAAATAACAATGCAACAGGGAAAGGTTTTCTTGTTTTCTTATCATTGAGAGGTGATCTAAGGCACAGCCTTGAATGAAAGTTTGTAGCTCAAATTTTTCTGGTGTTGGTGCAGCACCAGAAGAAATCCTATCTTCTGGGAAGCCTGGGATTCCTTCCCACTCTCTGTGATCTCTAATGAGTCAGGAAGAAAAAGAGCTCAGGTCTCACATTCATTCTGGGTTTCTGAAGCTGATTCCTGGCAGCCTCATAGATTTCATGGGTGATCTGGGCAATATTGTTTTCTCTCACATTACCAAAGTTTCTTTAATAGTTCCTTGTTAACACAGGTTATTTATTTAGATATACTTTTTAGAAGTAGCATATAAAAGATATAGAATTATGGCTTTTCTGTGCAGGTCCCATCTTTAGTATCCTTGTGCTGTGGCAATGCAATTATTACAGCAAAGGAATCAGCTCGCTCAGCATTGTGGAGTCAGGTTTCCTACACCCAGGGCAGTGTCCCACTGCAGGACAGTTTGTCACTGCCCCAGAGGCTGTTCAGTGGCATGTTCCAAAGGGAACCATAGAGATTGAATCAGTGATTCCCAGATGATGGATCAGTGCTGTGGAGCTCATCACTCCTGGGAGTGACTCCATCATTCTGTCCAGGGACTGTGGATGCCTTTATGCTTGTGGGGGAAAGGCAATCCAGGAGTTTTCAGTAAGGCCTTTGATCCAAACCAGAGGGTGATGAGGATCACTGGAGCAAGGTGTGTTTGGGGAGCAGAGCATCATCTCTGTGTTTTGGAAGATGTGCTGGGGAAGGGAAGAGTCTGTTTGTCCTGCCTTTCGGAAGAAGCCATGTGTGAGGGAGGTGAGAGATCAGAGAGGTCCAACATTCTGCTCTGATGATGGGGCAAGGAAGCCTGGTTTAGACCCCCACATCCTTGGAGTGCCCAAGTCCCTGGGCTACTCTATTCTGAACAATTCTTCCTCCATCTCCTGTCTCTTTCTGAATTCTTTCATGTCTGTTTTCTGCTCATACTTGGTTGCAACCCTGAAGGGTGTTGCAATATCTCCCTGTTGATAATTTCTGCCTGTACCAAGAAAGTTTGTTTACAAACTCTCCTCCGACCTGGTCACTTGGATACTGTGCTTTGAGACAGCTCTTACAATACAGAATACAGAATGACTAAGGGTTTTTTCTGGTAAGTTATTTTTTCACCAAAATTATGCATCTTCAGAGAAATAAAACAGTATACAACTGCAGACTGAATTTGGCAAATAGCTTTAAATCCTCCACTATTATAAAAAAAATCTTCCAAAATTTCAACACTTTCAGAAGTATCTAAAAATTTAAAACACTATGTTTTAAATAATTTTCTAATGTGATTATTCTGAAAGATTAAAAACACTTGAAGTTTTATAACCTTGCTTCAGGATTAATGAAATGTTTGGCATGATCCAAACATATTTTTAGTTTCCTGAATCTGTTAGTGTATTTTAGATTTTGTTCTTGAAAGTACAAGTGTTTTCATTTCAGGCTGACCTACACTACATCAGTATTATTATTAACTTTATTGTCTTCATTATATTCTTTATTTATGTTATTATCAGTTTTATTGTCTGTTGCTATAGTATTATACTGTATATAATAATATATATTAATATGAAAATTAAATATTTTATTCTATATAATATGTTATTGTTGCTATTATATAATATCATATAATATCAATCATATCATATAATATATTTTATTTTAGATCCTATTTTATATTACATTTTATATAATATTTTATATTTTATACTATATTTTATATTTTATATAATATTTTTAATTTTATTTTTCTTTTAATTTTTAATTTTTTAATATTTTAATTTTTTATTTACTATTTTTATTTTAATTTTTGTTTTACTTTATTTTAGTTTATATAGTTATATTATATTTTTATTATAATTTATTTTTATTATATTTTACTTTATTATAATTATATATCAGCAGTAAAATTCCCATTTGGTAGTGATGCAAAAGACCAAACTAGATGCACTTTTGCAAAATTCGAATATTGCCTTAATTTTGAAAATCCCTTCCAAATATGGAACAGTTTGGGGGCTGAGCTTGTGCCTTTGTCTGGCACCTGCTGCCAAAGGGGGTCTGGTTTGCAAGTGTTTGTGTAATTTAAGGTTAAGGGGATGTGCGCACTGAGCTCAGGGAGTTTGGCTCAGCAGAACAAAGTCAAGCCCAAGCAAAAGAAATTAAGATTTTGCTGCCTTATGCTGATCAAAGGGTTTCTACTAGCAGCAAGCTGCTGGCCAGGGCAGATCCCTGTTTGGGGCATGGGAAATTATGCAGCATCTGAACTTTTAGATGGGTAACATCACAAGGATCTGCCTCTTGCCTTTTGCCTTTGCGATGTACTTGATGGCCAGACCTTATAACAAGGTTGGTTATTCAAAAACCCCACCAGTTTTGTTCCCCAGGAGGAATGAACATGAACCTAAAAGAAGGACCACAAACCTGCCTCTACCTAATCAAGCACTCCTTTCAGGGAAAAAGGACAATATAATGTAATTACAGATATCAAAGTATTGTAAGAAGACAATCCCTGAAGCCCAAATGCTCACAGAGGAGAGATGCCATCCAAAAAATCTCATACAAAGTGCTGATGAAAATGCAAGAGGGAGAAAAGTACTCTCTGATTAACTTTTGTTTGGTTGGGTTTTTTTTTTTTAATATGTTTTACCCATCACTGCTGTGAACACACACTTGCAAAATTAGGCAGTGGAGGCAAAGAATGCCAACTCAGCACTGTCTTATGCAGCAGACTGGTACTTAACCACCCCAAAAAAGAATAAATTACTGTAGTTACGATCAGAAATAGATACATAGAGGAAACCAAAACAAACAAGGACTACTAGGGTACAAAGCAATGGTAAAACCAGCATTCTTGAGTGCCCCAACATCAGTCATTCTCTGCAGAGCCACCAGAGTGAGAGAAGGGAAATTGATACTCACAGAACTTCACCAGGAGGTATTTGGTTTCCTTCAATGCTCTGTCAAAGTTGCTCTTTTTCAGCAAGAGGACGTGGTTCTCCTTCTTTATTTTGGGGAGCTTGGTTTGCTTTAGCTTTGCTTCATTTGGGCTTATGCTCTCTGCTGCCAGGAAGCCTGTGAGAAACAACAATAGAATAAGGGAAAATGGATGTGTCTTCATCTTGTCCTGCCTTTATGCAGATATTGAGAAAGAAAAAAGCAAAGGAGCATTAAGCAGTAGGGTTTGCTGCTCAAATGCCTGTAGCTGTATCAGCCAAACCAAGAGGCTGATAAGGTTGATAAGTTTGCCGCCAGTGGAGCCAACTGCACCTTTCCATGGGAAGATTAAATTAATTAAGTACTTCCTCATCTTTAGTAGCGGTTGGGGGGGTGGAGAAGTTGGGATGAAGCATGGGGAAGTTGGGTTTTCTGTGTCTGAAAATAAACAACGCAGGGAGAAGGTGAGAGAGCACAGGAGGGAACACCTGCCTGCAGAAGCACCAGCGGGTTCCAAGTGTGCTGGTGTAATCAAACACCCTTCTCTCATCAGGGCTGCAGACAAAGCAGCAGGTCAGGTACCTGGCACAGTATTTGAGGGCTGCTCCTCTGCCTCATCTTTGCTTGTCTCTTGCACTCATAGATCTACTAATTGTGGGACTGAGAGTGTGCTGAAGTCAGGGGAAAACTCTCCTTTCTTTGCACAGGTAACTTTAATGTCTGTAACTCTTTGATGTCTTGTCTGTGAGGCTCCCTTCTTGTCTGTGAGTGTCAAGTTGTACCTCAAGTAAGATACTGCTTTGTGCATTAAACCAGAAGATTGTGCCATTGGTTTTCAGTGGTAACACAGTTTTCTGTGCAGTAAATGGAAGGGGCTAAATGTACCAATTCATCCTTAGGATTGCTATCAGCTGTGCATGAGAACTATGAGGCCTCCCTAGACAGCCCTTTCAGAACATTTAAAAAAATATTTGACAGAAATATTGAGATTCTGGACTGAATTTATATGGGTTCAATTCACTATGGAATTATTATTTCTGTAAACACCTGCGAGTCCATAGTTGTAGTAGAAATATCTTTGACCCTTAAACTCTGATAAAACTTGTGAACTTTACCCCCAGAGCTGTAACTGGTAGAGGAGACCAAGCACAAAGGACATTGCATTTCAGTGGCATGAAGGACAGAGCTGACTTGAAAACAGGTGGGTCTGGATTAGTAGAATCAAGAAGAAATTCCTTCAATAATGACTCTTTCTTCTTCTTGAGGAGCATCAAGTGATTCTTTGCACCTTGTGCCTTTAGCAGACATTTTATTTAGGAAGGCACCACTAAAAAGAAGGAATGTTCATAATGGAGTTTATGTGGTAGCCTCCATTTTCTGTAGATGAAGGATCTTGGGGGGCATATTGCTGCAATTTATTCTGGTTTTGAATTTATTCTTTTTATTCTGTGAGTGGGGCTGGGTTTCCAGCAAACTCTTTTCTATGAGGCTCAAAAGCTTTGTGTTGTAATGCACCTTGAGATTCATTCCATTAGTACTTGCAGAGTGTGCCTAATGAAATCAGGAGCTGTGTATTCAGGCTGCTTGCAAGATAAGATCACACATAAATACAGATTCAGCAATCAGGTACTAAAGGAGAAAAAGAAGCAGAAAGATAAGAGTCTCCCATTTGACTTTGTGGTCTCTTTCTCTTCATAACAGCTCCTTTTCAAAGATGTCTTTCAAGCAACATACTAGTAAGGTTAAAAAGCATCTCTCAGAACTGCAGGTTAAAGCTAACAAGGCCGGTTTGAGCTGGGCAGGCAGTGTTTAAGCTCAGAGCACAGCCTAAGGCTCCCAGAACAAAGGTAGGATGGCAAAACAATTTGCTGAGAGAGCTGGTTTTCCCCTGTCTGCCACTGAAACAAATAGCCATCAACTGAAATCCCTCCTGGAAACCTCCTACCAGGAAAGAGGCTCCATTGTGGAGAGGGTTCCTAACCTCTGTGTCCTGAAAGGAAACTGCAGAAACAGGAGGATCATACCTCTGTCCATCCTGCCAGGACAGATTTGCAAGGAGGAAAGGAGTGAGACTTAGTGGAATTGAACTTGTGGAGAACAATGTTTTCTTTTAGACACAGAGCAGATAAGATCACATTCTGTGCATTTCTTCATCAGTGCTAGCTAGCTAGCTTTGGCTTTCTTTTTGTGCTTTGTAGTTTGAGACCTGTGGGAAATCTGCCCTCTGCAGAAGTCACAGTCCAGTCAGCAGGAAACACTGGATTCAGGATCAATAATATTCTAGGGCCTTCTGCTTAGTTACCACTCACACCATGTGGCCGAGAGCCATTGAGATGTGCCTGACATGTGCACCTTCTATCTCAGTTTCTCTGGTTTGCCTCGCAAATGCAGTGATTTCAGAGTGATGCCAGTTACTGTTGTTTATTGGCATTGAGCACTGGAAGTTCTCACTACACCTACTCATGCAATAAATAATGCAAAGGTGAAAGTAAGAGCATAGAATCCCTGGGAGACAGGTATGCACTGCTGGCTGTTAAATAATGACAACATCACAGCACAAAAAAGTTTAAAAACAAAGCTGATTTCATAGAACTGGGGAAAAATTCCCTTAGATGTATGGGTACACCCTTCAGGACTTAATTACACTTAAAACAAGTTTATCTTTTTATTCAGCTCCTGTGAATGAAAACTAGTTTTCTTGACTTTCAGGGTTGGGCTTTAAATACCTGCGGCATTATCAGTTCTGTCTCTTCCACATGTACCTGTATTTTGTGTAGGAAAGACTAGGAGAAACTGGAAATGTTGGCACTTTCTTTGCAAGTTTATTTTACAACATGTATCTTTTCCAAAACTGCAAAATTCAGCTGAAGTGCAAAGCAAATGGAAGTCTTTGGCACTTCACCTTTGCTCACCTACTGTCTGTTTTGTGTTTATTCCATGCCCTCAAAGAAAATAGAACTCATAAGAAAATAAATCAGAGATTCATCAGTTTTATTGGTGCATAAATTCAGTGTGACTCGCCATCTAGTGCAGGTTTAGGGCATAACATAATTACAGAGAGTTTTAAGTCAAGGTGATTGTCTCCTAAAACACTTCAAAAGTAGTGATATTTCATTTCTGTAAGCAGGCAAAGTAACATAAAATTTACAGGAATCCAGACATAGATATTGATAAAAGGACTGGCAAGTGAAATTTGAGAGATGAGATATGGGAGTCATTCATCAGCTGACAAAGTAAAGGACAAATATTCTAATGAAAAGCAGTGCACAATCCCTTTACAAGAAAAGGAGGAACATAAAATAATAGGGAAAACATGGATGTGTTCAAACAACCTATTTATTCAAGATGGTTTGCATTCATTTATCCGACATCATACATGGGACAGCATCCAATAACTGGATTTGTTTAATGTCTTTTCTTTCATTCCAGGTGACTGATTCCTTAGATGTACACCTGATTCCTTCCCCTCACCATCTGATAAAACATCATTTATCATGAGAACATTTCTTAAATCCTGGATTCCTCAGTGTTTGTGGATTCTCAGGTCACCTTCCAGAACATTCCATGGAAACAACAGGCTTCTTACATTTCAGATTACTTCCCATTATGAATCTGTAAATCAGGGTAAAAAGGAAGTGCCAGAATATTTCAACTTTGCAAGTGATGTCTTGGATGAGTGGGCACGACTGGAAAAGGTAGTATTTGTCTTTTATTTTATAGACGTTGAATTGTAGTTTAACCCTAGCTGTCAACTGAGAACCACAGAGCCCCTGGATCTCACACACACACATCCACACACATCCAGTGGGATGGGGAGGAGAAACAGGAGGAAAAAAGGTAAAACCCATAGGTGAAGGAACAAACAGTTTAAGAATCTAAATAAAATATAGTAATAAAAAGAATATTAATAAAAATTATCACTATTGTAGAAGTATTAGTAGAAATAGTAGTGATGAAAAGGGAGATAACAAAAAAAGAGAGAGGAACAAAGAAAACCCAGAAAAGATGAATGATGCCCAACACAATTTCCCACTGCCCTCTGATGGACACCCAGCCTGTCCCCAAACAGCAATTGGCACCACTCAACCAACTTCCCTCCAGGGTATCAACTGAGCAGGAGCTCCTGTGGCTGGAATATCCCTCTGGGCAGTTCAGGTCCGCTGTCCTGTCTGTGATCTCTCCCAGTTTTCATGCACCAACTTGTTGGCAGAGTGTGAAAAACTGGAAATTCCTTGACTTAGTTGTTGCTAAGCAGTGCTTACTCTATCCCAGTCCAAACCAGGACATGGTGGAGCAAATCTCAAATGATACCATTTTATTAATGGTACTGGATAGCAGTGGCACCATTTTGTTTGTCAGAAAGATGGGTATCACTCCAAGAGAGGGGTTGATAAGGGTGATTTATATTGAAGTGAAACCTTTCAAAGTTTGTCTTATTTTAATATCTGCTCACATGTTCTAGGATGGCAGAAAACCAGCAAATCCAGCTTTTTGGTGGGTCAATGATAAAGGAGAGGAGGTGAAGTGGAGCTTTGAGGAGTTTGGCTCTCTGTCCAAGAAGGCAGCCAATGTCCTTTCTGAGGCCTGTGGTTTGGGGAGAGGAGACAGAATTGTGGCAATTCTGCCTCGTGTTCCTGAGTGGTGGCTCCTGAAC